CGCTGTGCCACTGGGGGGGGGGCGAACTAAACGAAAAATGCACACACTTTTTCAGTGTGATCAGCCAATAAAATGAAAAAAGATAACTTCAAATAATGTATAGACATGAACAAAAACCGGATGTTCGTTTGCGTGAAGCACAAAGCTCCACAATGGCTTATCTGTGCTTTGCCCATCGCAGGTATCGAAACTCGACTCTTAGCATATAAGTTCTCAGACTTAACGCTGATCGTTCATCGCAGGAGGCAAAGGCAGACGTTGTAGCCACAATGTAGAAAGACCAACATTTTTGTATCTAGAGACAGAATATTAAGCGATTAATGAAGATTTGTTTGTTTGTTTATTTGTGATTAAGCACAAAGCTACACAATAGGCTATCTGCGCTCTGCCCACCACGGGTATCGAAACCCGGATTCTAGCGTTGTAAGTCCGCAAACATACCGCTGTGCCACTGGGGGGCAAATTAATGAAGAAAAAATGTAGTATTTTTTTAAAAGTGCTAATTTACTAATTATACTCCTACTTGGTAAATGTAATTTGCTTTTTTTTTAAACATCCAATTCGACGCGTAAGTCAAATATAAAGAGAAAACTAAAGATATATGTTTTAATTTTTCAAAACTTGGGAATTGTAAATGAGTGAGTTTTGACCTATAATGGCTTCTTTTTTTTTCAGCTTGCTAACTGGTTCGACCTTAGAAATATATTCACCTAGTCCGTCTATTGAAGATAACATCCTTGTGTTACCATGACAACGTGGCGATCGGTGGCTTCTATACCGTAAGTCTGTGTAACAGGCCGATGGATTCTATGTAACTCGTCATAAATAGCATACAAACAACAGTATTCGCAAGTAAAAGATGTAGGGTGTGCCGGTTAAGAGTTCATACAATGTTTACTTCAGCTTTACATCGAGATGTTTTATATACGTATATGCAGAGATATTATGCTTGATTTATATCGGTGAAGAGAAGAGAGAGAAGAAAAAAAAACTAAAGTTAAACTTACCTGTTGCGGGCCAAGCGAGCTCGACGCAATCACGCTGTTGAAAACAAGCACCTTGCTGCGCTGTTCACAACTACCGCTTCCGAGAGAGGGCGCTGGAAAGAAGATCTCCTTGCTATTTCGGTTATGACGGTAATATCGGTAAATAACAAGAGTCAGCCCAATCAACAGAGCCAAACCAACGCCAGTGGCTGCTCCTAGTACCTGAGGCGACACCAACATATTCTCTGAAAAAAGAAAGGATGATCAGAATATTAATTTAGTAAACAGTTTCTGTTACCTTCATGTCCTTATAAAATGTAATTATTGAATATTTGTTTCTAGAATGTCTATGTATATTAGGTTTAGAACATTATTATATTTAAATATATTTTTATCACCATGATTAAATTCAATTTTGTTTTTAAACTTGCAACTTGCAATCCAATAGGAAAAATAAAATAAAACTTTGATGGACTGCTTCTAAAAAAACACGCAAAAGACAACAGATGACGCTTTACACGCAATCTGAGAGTCGCGTGTTCGAATCCCCGTCCCACCAAACATGCTCGCAGTTTCAACTGATAAAAGTGTAGCCCAAGAGTTGGCGGTGGGTGGTGATGACTAGCTACCTTCCCTCTAGTCTTTCACTGCTAAATTATGGACGGCTAGCGCGGATAACCCTCGTGTAGCTTTGCGCGAAATTGTAAACAAACCGTATTAAATGTATGTATGTATTCACGATTACATCAATATTTCGTGCACATTGTGTTCTAAAATGTCCCAGTTGAGATCAGATATCGGCATTTCCAGATTAAGTGCTCTCGCGCATGACATGCAAAATAACGTGTAAGATGTAATGGGAATTAGCTGTCACATGTAATACACGGGAATATATTTATGGTTATTCAGCATTGCTATTCTAAAAATAGCATATTACGCTCCATTAAAGAAAGTATTCGGCAATGTATTGTCAATGTTGAGAAGCTGTTTTGACTCGTCTGTTAATTTGGAAAAACGGGATTGAACCAACCTTCTCATAGCCAATCTGGTATCACGATTCTTTTTGAGATTTCTTTCAGGACCGAGCTACTGTTTATGTATACAGAACTCTTACGAAAAACTACCAATTTTTTGTCTCTTGCGTATTACTCTAAGAATACTCTTCACAGCCACACCACTATCAGGGCGAAGGGAAATTATTTGATTTCTGAGCATCCAGGTCTTCAGTCCCAAATCCCTACAACGATGGTGATGATTGCTAAGTTTTCATCCTAATCCTACTTGCCGACATAGATAGTGTGATCAACTGACAGTAATCTTCCCCAATAATAGGAAGAAGAGCCAAACATTGTCTGGCAGATCTTCCTATCAAAGCCAAAAAAACAGCCAAGCTTTCATCATTAACCTATTGGACTTAAAGACGTCAGACAGTTGAAAACACAATAGGTTTGTATTTATATTTAAGTGCCGTAGAAATATAAGTTAAAAATTAGGAACAAATCATTTTTCGATAATTTGCCCCCACCCCGGCCCTGCAAGCTCCCAAAGCTAGTGCAACAGCCAGCCTTTAGGATCGCTTGGTTGAAAAATTGAGTCAAAAGCGAGTGACGTCACTCAAGGTAAACAAGAGCAGTCGCGGTCGGCTTCCTCTGTGTGCGTGGAAAACTGTCGGTTTGTTTTCGTTTTGTTTTCTGGACAAATTTCATTTGACATACGTCGTGAATACAGTTATTCGTGAGTAAACAACTATGGTTTTTCGCTGTGATGTTTATGGATGTGGGAACAAGGAAGTATCTCTGTACGAGTTTCCACCTAATTCAGACAGAAAACGACACATTGCCTGAACAAAGTTCGTATCAAGAACTCATGATAAATGGAGTCCCCCGAAAGCTGCCATGTATGCAGTGAACACTTTTTGGAATCAAACATCAAAAATAAACTACAATATGATATGGGATTTGCAAACAAAAAACTGGCGCTAAAGAAAGGTGCAGCAGTGTGTATCCGAAGTTAGAGGGGGTTCATTAAACACGGTTGGCAGCAGCCAGGATCATGCCAGTGGCACATAACACTCTTCTTTTCAGACCAATAACAGCGATGATAGTCGTGTAAGACCAGCTGTTCAAAAACGAGAGGCATGCAGGATAAGCTCAGGTTTTAGTTAATGTTTTAAGGACAATATAGAATTATCAGCAACCAATCAGGTTTTATAAACACACCAGTAGATCTGCTAAAATAAAAAAGATTTTATGAAATTTCACTTTCAGCTATTATTTACCAAAAAATAAGGGCATAGACCAACAACTGGCTGTTCTTTTTACTTATTTTTCATGTTTATAACACTTTTTTTTATGAAATTTCATTGCAGATGTCAATATACCACATAACAAATGCTATATCTACAATATCAATTTTCGAAATATGACCCCAGTTATGTTCGCTTTTCCAGTCCTAATGTATACGTAGTCATATGCATACAAATTGGAGCATGTGCAGAATACAGTATCGAGATTCCATCAGCTGGTATTAGATCTACATCTAGATATAGACCCATCACTTGAAAAAACAAATATGGACTAGAATTTACTCATAGATTTACTATATTATCGCCTATGTGACTACACTAATGACTGTAAATTTCGTCCCATTTTCCTGACATTAGCAGTGTAAAACAGTCTTTTATGACATTGTAACATACAACTGTTGAAACAATTCCATACCAAGAAAGATCAGACAACTGCCAGTCCTCGTCCACTTCGGCCAACATTGGACACATTATCGTCTGCAAGCTCTCAAGAATATACGGTGCGTTTGACACTTTACATCTATCTTCCTCTTCACCTGCTGTTGCCATTTTTTGTTTACCTTGTGTGACGTAGGTTTGCCCGCCCAGTTCGCCATGTGGCGCTTCCGCTAGTTTTTCTTGAAGCTAGCCAACCATGACCAAGTATGGCTTAGAGCCAAATGAGCATGAGTATTTCGTTACTTTTTTTAATCGTATTATTTTTAGTGCGATATGATATACATATTCAAGTACGAAAAATGCCCTATTATCTGTGGTCTATAACAAAGAACTCAGCGAAGAGTTCGAAACCTTTTTTTCTAGTGCAATATGATATACATATTCAAGTACGAAAAATGCCCTATTGTCTGTGGTCTATAACAAAGAACTCAGCGAAGAGTTCGAAACCTTTTTTTCTAGTGCAATATGATATACATATTCAAGTACGAAAAATGCCCTATTGTCTGTGGTCTATAACAAAGAACTCAGTGAAGAGTTCGAAACCTTTTTTTCCAAAAACTAGAAATAATGTAGAAACAGCCTACAGAAAACTATTCAACGCATTACGTTCCTTTCTAAAGTAATTATTACATTGCTTAGTGCCTCTGTAATTATTAATAATGTTATTTTGCGCACTGATTCCATGCAGTAACTAAAACATAGGTAAAATCGTATCACAACGGCTGAAAATTAGTTGATATAATATAAGCTGGATTACATTATATTTATTTTCAACATCGTACCATGATGTACAGAAGGAAGATTTATCTATTGACATTCAAAAGATTATGTAAAAACTTTTTTTCAAAACACGAATAAGTTTGTTATCCTAACAAAATTCTGAGATTCTTTGGATGATGAACATCTATATAAATTCAGTTTTATTATATACCGTTTGAAATTACAACATTCTGTCACACCTATATAAGATGTGTTGATTCTGTCAGACCTATATAAAATTTGTCGAATCTGTCTAACCTATATAAGATGTGTTGATTCTGTCAGACCTATATAAGATGCGTCGATTTTGTCAGACCAGTATAAAATTTGTGGGTTTTGTCGACCTATATATAATTTGTCGAATCTGTCAGACCTATATATAATTTGTCGAATCTGTCAGACCTATATAAGATTTGTCGATTCTGTCAGACCTATATATAATTTGTCGAATCTGTCAGACCTATATATAATTTGTCGAATCTGTCAGACCTATATAAGATGTGTCGATTTTGTCAGACCTATATATAATTTGTGAGTTTTGTCGACCTATATATAATTTGTCGAATCTGTCAGACTTAAAAAGATGTATCGATTCTGTGTGACCTATATAAGATGTATCGATTCTGTGTGACCTATATAAGATGTGTTGATTCTGTCAGACCTATATAAGATGTATCGATTCTGTGTGACCTATATAAGATGTGTTGATTCTGTCAGACCTATATAAGATGTATCGATTCTGTGTGACCTATATAAGATGTGTTGATTCTGTCAGACCTATATAAGATGTATCGATTCTGTGTGACCTATATAAGATGTGTTGATTCTGTCAGACCTATATAAAATTTGTTTATTCTGTCAGACCTATATAAGATTGACCGTCACATTATAACGCTCCTACGGCTGAAGGGGCGAGCATGTTTAGTGGGACGGGGATCCGAACTCGCAATCTGAAGATTGCGAATCGAGCGCTCTACCACCTGGCGATCGAAAGTAATGTTAAGAGTGTTGTTTTTTTTTATTATTATTTCTCATAGTTTTTGCGGACCGTTGAGCCGATGGCAGATCTTGCTCTGCCATCGTTTCTAAAGCTGTTTCTTACGTCAAGGATGCAACCCACTTGACAGCCTTCCCTCTTTGAAAGGACGAGCATGTTTGGTGTGACGGGGGTTCGAACCCGCGACCCTCAGATTGCGAGTCGAGCGCCTTAACCACCTGGCCATGCCGTGCCTAAGAGTGGTGTAGATTCTCAAAATTCATCATGTAGGTTGTCACATATCGGTTCAAGAGTGAATATATTGAGGATTTATATATGTTTCTTAAATATACACACGTTTCTCGTTCAAACGTAATATTACGTTAAATACGTACATTTTCTTTTTCATGGTGAACTGAAAATAGCGGTATATTCAGAATCCCTTATAACAATGAAGTCAAATCTGCCAGTGAAAGCATTTTGGATTTCCAAATATTATTATTTAAAAAAAAACAGCATTTGCAATACAATTTTTCGTTAAAATGAACGTGCTATTTGCTTATAAACTTGCCCTTTTTAATTATTTTATTGCTCAAAAACAATCTTATCATCTTTGCTTTCAATATGTTTGTTTAGTTAGTAATACGCAGAAAGTAAACTT